GATGAAGGGCTTATTGGGAATATTACAAAAATATTTAATCTTACTATGAATGGGAGGTTTAGTAATGGAATGGATTTTCATTCCCTGAAATGGATTTTCATTCCAATGGAATGGTCCATTCATGCATACCAAACAGATGAATGGTCGGAATGGACATTCCATTCCATTCCTGCACACCAAATGGATTTTCATTCCCTGAAATGGATTTTCATTCCAATGGAATGGTCCATTCATGCATACCAAAATAGATGAATGGTCAGAATGGGCATTCCATTCCTGCGTACCAATCGTAGCATCAAAGGTTGATGACTTTGGAGGCAGTAATAGGCTTTATCAATTGGTGATTGCAGAGGATGACCTGTCCTGTGGATTATTTCTTTGATCTTTGCCCTTTTATATACGCATACATACTCCAAAAGTGATCCCGCTGCGGAGAGATATTTTGACCTTACTTGGTTTGCAAATCATTTTATGTTTTCGAAGCAATAACAACTTAGAAAACTGATTTATAATCTGCTGCTTGGAACAAATTTTTGGAAACAGATTTTCAAAAAATGGGTTTGATGCTTATGGTTTTTAGAGAACTCCTCAAAGTTGTTTTGGGAATTTTTGGAAACAATCATCAATCCCCCCCTCTTTCTCTCTCTCTCAATCTTTTTGCCACTTTCAGCTTTTAATTGATCGAAGTTTAATTATTTGTTTTTTTAATTTTATGTCTCAACAATCATATGGAGGAATTTAGTCCTCTTTCACGTAGTGCCTCAAAATTTATACAAAATTATGGCAAAAAAAGGAAAAGCTCATGAGAAATCTAATGAGAGAGACCTCATAATAGCATTATTCAAAAAAATATACACAACAGTTGGAGATGTTCTAATTGAATTTTAGTTATGGAAACAAAATAATAAAAATATAAAATTTTGAATTATATCCAAATTCTAATAGAAATTTTTTATTAAGTCACACATTAAAACCAAAAGTGTAATGTTTTCAATTTTTACCATTTTTTATTTTCTAGAATTTTCTTATTTTTTTAGGGTGATTTCGTCTTTTCTTGTTTTGTGTGCCGAACACCGTGGGGTGTGCCGGTTGTATCTAAGAGTTGGTTGGGGAATTCCATTGAGTTCGAGACTCTTGGAAATGCAATGGTTGCCATCCTCGTATTTTTTCATTTTTTTGGGCCAGGAGGCGGTCCCACTACCAAAATTTTTATGCACAGGGATTGTATCGTAGGTCCATTGCATTTCATGCATTGTAATTTTGTGCTTAAATTAATGGTTTAAATGCATATTCGTGGTTGTGCTATAATTAGTGCTTGTATATATATGTATATATATATACATTGATTTTGTGGTGATAAGTTAATGTTAAAAAGATCTTTATTGCACTATGGGGCCCACCCTTATTTCCTCTTAATGGACATAAGGCCATTTGGCCTTATATTCATTCTCTCTCTCGCGCATTCTTCCTTTTTTTTTTTTTTATTTCTTTTCTTTTTTCTTTTTCTCTAAAAATTTCAAGGTTTGATTTCTCTCTTATCCTTGAGAATTTGCTATTGCCGTTTAAGGCAAAATTAGAGACCTCGTTGAGACTTTTAATTTGATCGGAGCCATGTCCCGTTTGGTCAACCTAGGGATTTTGAAAATTTGAGCATTTTTGGGACTTTTACTTTTAAGTTGAGGTAGGGGTCTCTAATACATAATTTCTTATGCTTTTGTGAGTTATTTCTTTATAATTTGTTGATTTGCATGCTTAGTTAGTATAAATTTTTTCAAATTGCTTAAATGTTATATATGAAACATGTGACTGTGTGAGTTAATATGTTGTGATTAAACATGCCTATAGTATGATCCCGCATACTTTTTATCCTATTCATTGTATGGATTCACGGGGACATAAGAGATGTGTCTTAGGTATCTTCTACTGAGCTTTATGCTCACCCTATTATATTAACATTTTTCAGGAAATGGAGGTTGTCTCGGAGTTTTTAATGGGTGTTTGATGACTTCTATTGAAGCTTTGGGACATTATATGTGTAGCATTTTACTTGTACTCAATACATGTAAAACAATGTATATTTGTCCATGTAGGATTCATGATGTAAATTGTAATTGATGTATGATAGGGAAAAATAACCCTAGCCTATCTTGACTTAACAAAAAAGGGAATTAAATATTGACCTGCCACCAGATTTCTCCAACTCTCAGACGATAATATCTCGTTATTAAGGATAACCATTCTATTAGATAAGAATGATGACAAATCGTATCTAGGATAGGATTTGTCATGGGATAAGTTCAAATCTTATCAAGGATAGGATTTCCACGAGGTAGGCTCCATGGGCTAAGGACGATGAAACTCCCTTATCAAGAATAAGGGAAGTGACTATAAATACAAAGACGACTCGGGAATAAGGTACACACAAAAAAAACTCCTACTAAGCAAATTACGATTAAAATTCTCTATCGAGAATCCTTGCTAACTTGATCGTCGGAGGGTAAACGGCCGGCACCACACCGGTGTTTGACTTTGCCATCCTTATTTTGTAGGAAACGGTGTCGTACTAGACCGCGGCGAAATTCAACCTTAATAGTTGGCGCCGTCTGTGGGAACAGTGATTCCCTTGAATCGATTTATTACTCGTTGGGTATAGACGTTTGCGGTCCGGTATGGTTACCGAAGGAACACCGTCGCAGGGATCTGGTCAAAGGGAAGAGTTGGGTGAAAATATAGACGTCCCAAATGACCAGACACGATTTGCAGCGTTGGAACTGCAGGTCCAAACTCTGAATCAGGGTATAGACCAGTTGATCCAACAAAATGCAACACTCCTGCAACACCTTGTTCCACCGATTCAACAGGGCTTGCCACGCCAAGACCTCTCGAATCCAAACAGGGGTAATGGGAATCTGGAAGAGCAGGATACTCATCCTCCCCGACATGAGACCGAAGTTGAACAAAGCCAGGTGGGAAACCGACATAGAGAGGTGATCCACCCCTTTCTTCCACGGAGTTCCCGACCCCATGAAGACACGACTGTCATTGAAAAGACCGAGGAAATTTCCCACGTTGACCTAGAGATGCAGGATCTCAAGGCAAAGATGGAGGGTGTGATGCAGGCCATGAAGGGAAAAGGCATTGCGGCCATAGATGGTTTGGTGCAGAAAACCAATTTGCCATTCAGCCCCTCGGTTATGAAATGCCCTTTGCCAAGCAAATTTAGAATGCCCATAATTGAGAGTTTCGACGGAACTAAAGATCCCCTTGACCACTTGGAGACTTTTCAGGCGCTTATGCACCTACACGCGATGCCGGATGAGATCATGTGCAGGGCTTTCCCAACGACTCTTAAAGGATCAGCACGGGTATGGTTCAACAAACTAAAGCCAGGAACCATCGAAACCTTTGAAGAATTGAGTAAGGGCTTTGTGGGCCATTTCATTGCTGGCCAGAGGCATAGAAGGCCGGCTACCCACCTCCTTACTGTGAAGCAACAGAAGGGAGAGTCACTGCGAGATTACATTAGTCGTTTTAACACGGAGATGTTACAGATGGAGGAAGCGGATGACAAGGTGGCCCTAGCCGCCTTCATGGGAGGACTTCAAACCTCAAGATTTCTCTTCTCTTTATCAGAGGAACCTCCTACCAACATGGCCGAGTTATTGGTTCGAGCTAAAAGACATATGAATGCTGAAGATGTAATGATTGCGAGAAAGGGAAAAGAAGGGGAGGATAAGAAGTCAGACAAGAAAAGGCCGGCCCTGACGATCAGAGATGAAAAGGAAACCAAGTATAAGAAACCCATGGTTAACCAGAATGAAAGGGCATCTCGCTATAAGAACACGGAGAGGTATACAAATTACACTTCTTTAAATATGCCGATAGATCAAGTTTTCCTACAGATCCAGGATGAACCATATCTGAAGTGGCCACCGAAGTTGAAGTCAAATCCGGCAAGGAGACCTCGTGATAAGTATTGCAGGTTCCATAAAGACCATGGGCACGCTACAGAGGATTGCTTCGACCTTAAGGATCAAATTGAGACTCTGATCCGAAGGGGGCACATGCGAAAATTTATTGTGGGGAATGACAGAACCGACATTAACCCACTAAGAGCAGGCCGAGATAACCACCCTCCTGATCAACAACCAATAGGAGAGATCAGGGTCATAGTCGGGGGGTGTGCAGGAGGTGGAGAATCGAGCTCAGCCCGTAAGGCCTATGCAAGGAGAATGCGAAGCTCATCTGAGGTGTGCGAAGTGGGAGTACAGATTCAACATCGAAAGATGCCTCGTTTAGGTGATCCAGTTATTACATTCTCAAATGAAGACATGAAAGATGTGCAGCAACCTCATGACGACCCTCTTGTCGTCACCATGATGATCGCTAACTATAATACTCGGCGAATCTTGGTAGATAATGGAAGTTCAGCTGATATCATTTTTCTTGATGCATTCAGCAAGATGAAGATTGGTAAGGAGAAACTCAGACCTACCAGATCACCATTGGTGGGATTCACGGGAGACAAAGTCTATCCTCTAGGAGCAGTCATCCTTCCTGTCACTGCAGGAACCAGCCCAAAACAAGTCACTGTCATGGTCGACTTCCTGGTGGTGGATTGTCCATCTGCTTACAATGTCATCCTAGGAAGAGCGACCTTAAATTCGATGAGGGCTATCATTTCGACTTATCACCTATTAATGCGCTTCCCTACCGAGCATGGCGTGGGCGAACTAAGAGGAGATCAGTCCATTGCCAGAGAATGCTACGTTGCCTCTCTCAAAGAAAAGAGACAGCAGGAGGCTTTGATTGTCGATGAAGTTGAAGAGAATGAGTAAGACCGGGCTAAGCCAATCGAGGACTTGGTGGAGATATGCTTGAATGACACTGACATAACAAAAAAGGTGAAGATAGGGTCTCTGCTCCCCTCAGATTTCACAAATATTCTTATACAGTTCCTCAGACAGAATCAAGATGTATTCGCTTGGTCACATGAAGACATGCCCGGTATTAATCGAACTACGATTGAGCATCAATTAAACACAGATCCTACATTCAAACCTATCAGGCAAAAGCGAAGAACATTTGCTGCGGAAAGGAACATGGCTATATCAGAAGAGGTGAATAAGCTTATGAAAGCTGATTTCATCCAGGAGGTTCATTATCCCGACTGGTTGGCCAATGTTGTTTTGGTAAAAAAGGCCAATGGAAAATAGAGGTTGTGTGTAGACTTTACGGATTTAAATAAGGCGTGCCCCAAAGACAGTTTCCCTCTGCCAAGAATTGATATGTTGGTAGAAGGGACAGCTGGCCATGAGCTGCTCAGTTTTATGGATGCATACTCAGGGTATAACCAAATCTCAATGCACACGCCAGACAGAGATAAAACCTCTTTCATCACGGACAGAGGTTTATATTGCTATAAGGTGATGCCTTTTGGGCTAAAAAATGCTGGTGTAACATATCAGCGGCTAGTAAACCTGATGTTTAAGGACCAAATCGGAAGGAATATGGAAGTGTATGTGGATGACATGCTGGTAAAAAGCTTGAAAGCTCAAGACCATCTGGTTGATCTACAGGAAACGTTCTAAGTCCTCAGGAAACACCAGATGAAGCTCAACCCAAGTAAATGTGCCTTCGGAGTCTCCTCTGGGAAATTCCTCGGTTACATGGTAAGTAGAAGAGGGATAGAAGCTAACCCTGAGAAGGTCCAGGCGATTCTCAACATGCAGTCTCCAGCATCGACCAAGGAACTTCAAAGATTGACAGGAAGGATCGCAGCTCTGAACAGGTTGATTTCCAGGGCGACCGATAGGTGTTTGCCTTTTTCCGTGTGCTCAGGTTAGCTTTTTCATGGACCCCTGAGTGCGAGCAAGCTTTTACAGAGCTAAAGGAGTATCTCACTTCACCACCATTATTGTCGCGGGCGATGCAAGGAGAACAGTTGTATTTGTAATTGGCAGTTTCTCCGTCGGCAGTAAGCTTAGCCTTGGTCCGCGAAGAGGATGGAAACCAGAAACCGGTATATTATATTAGTCGTGCATTCAGGGGGGCGGAAGAAAGGTACCCAAGGATAGAAAAGTTGGCATTTGCTCTAGTTATCTCCGCGAGGAAACTCAGGCCTTACTTCCAAGCTCATACAATAATAGTATTGACGGACCAACCACTTAGGCAGGTTCTCCGCAAACCTGATACTTCGGGGCGACTCATGAAGTGGTCGGTAGAACTTAGAGAGTTCGATATCCAATACAAACCCCGAACGGCCTTAAAAGCCCAGGTACTGGCAAATGTTATAGCGGAATTCACACCAGAAGATGGGCCCGAGCATGCTGTAGATAAGCAGGAAGAAGCCGAATCTACTTGGACGTTATATGTGGATGGGTCTATCAACGCCCGTGCAAGTGGGGCAGGGCTAGTAATTATCTCCCCAAATGGGGAATGCATCAAATATGCACTCAGGTTTGGTTTTAAAGCAACCAACAATGAGGCAGAGTATGAAGCCCTCCTAGCAGGCCTCAGGATAGCGAAAGCTTTGGAAGTTGAATGACTAGTAGCATATACTGACTCTCAACTAATAACTGGACAAGTCCAGGGGGAATATGAAGCCAAGGATGAGAAGATGAAGACCTATTTACATAAGATAGAGGATATCAAGGGTTTTTTTAAGAAGTTTTCTATTCACCGGATTCCCCGAGAAGAGAATGCGCAGGCAGACGCCCTGGCTCGACTGGCAACCACAGAGGAAGATAAAGCCATACCCGTGGGATATTTGGATGAGCCTAGCACGGTCTGGGATTGGCCACAGAAAATACACCAGGTGGGCCATGGCATGGAGTGGGCAGAACCCATTATCAGGTACATTGAGAACGAAGAGCTACCCCAGGACCGCATGGAAGCATGAAAGATTAGGATGCGTGCGGCAAAATATTCCCTCGTTGATGGGGTTCTCTACAAGAAGGGATTTTCTCTACTCTACTTGCGTTGTGTCTCTATTGATGAGACAAATTACATTCTAAAGGACATACATGAAGGCCTTTGTGGAAATCATGCTGGGGGCAGATCACTAGCGCATAAAGCTATCCGACAAGGATACTTTTGGCCTACTATGAGGACAGATGCACTTGAGTTTGTGAAGAAATATGACAAGTGTCAGAGATTCGCCAATGTCCTAAAACAACCAGCAGAAAAGTTAACCCCTCTTACAGGGCCGTGGCCTTTTGCCCAATGGGGGACAGACCTCATCGGCCCCTTACCCCAAAGGAAGGGACAAACTAAATACGTAATTGTGGCTATCGATTATTTCACCAAATGGGTAGAAGCTGAGCCATTAGCTCATATTGGAGCGAATGAAGTAAAAAAGTTTTTCTGGAAGACAATAATCTGCAGGTTCGGAGCACCAAGGGTAACTGTGACCGATAATGGGAAGCAGTTTGAAAGTGAGCAGTTCCTCGATTTTTGTAATGAACTTGGGATCAAAGTTCATTTCTCCTCTCCTGCCCATCCCCAAGCCAATGGGCAAGTTGAAGTCACGAATAGGACAATATTGAAGATGATCAAGACGCGCCTAGAAAAGGCCAAGGGCTTGTGGCCTGAACAACTACCCGGAGTTTTATAGGCCTATCGCACTACCGTAAGAACCCCTACTGGGGAGACCCCTTTTGGGTTAGCTTTTGGAAGTGAAGCTGTGATCCCGGTAGAAACAAAGGTTGCTACCTTCAGAACCAAGTATTTTGAACCTCAACAGAACGGAGTGGAACTACGATTAAACCTAGACCTGGTAGAAGAGAAAAGGGAGCAGGCCCAGGTCAAGGTTGCGGCTTACCAGCGGATGATATCCAAGTACTACAATGCCCGAGTCAAGCCAAGGAGGTTCGAGCCAGGAGACCTGGTGCTTCGCGAGGTTACCCCGGCTACTAAGGAAAAGGGGAAAGGAAAGTTAGCTCCCAATTGGGAGGGCCCTTATCGAGTAACCAAAAGCAACAGACCGGGGGCATACTGGTTAGAGTCACTTGGTGGGAGCCAGCTTCCCCACCCGTGGAATGCAGAACATTTGAGGAAATATTACCAGTAGGTACTCATGCTAGGCTGTGTTTTATTTTATTATCTCACTTTTAAAAGTGATAGAATGTTTTTAGCTACAATAAAGCAGACCAGTGTGTAACGGATGCTAATATTCAACTATCGATTATTATTTTTGATAGGTCTTTAATAAAATGGTTATTCGTATTTATTGCACGTGTTTCTACTGAATTTTATAAGTCACATAAGGACTAGTGACACATTAAGTCCCCTTCTTTATTAAAAGAAATAAGTGACTTTTCCTTACTAAAGGGACGAGCTGGGTGAAGCTCGTAAAAATATGTTCCTTCGAAAGAAGGACGGGCTGAGTGAAGCCTGGGAAAGTAAAATGAGTTCTGTATAAGGAAATAACAAGTATGAAACAATACCATGAAAGACAAAAGTAGAGCAACTATTCTCTGGATTCAGAGATATTCTGAAAAGTTTTAAAGGAACAACATACTGAGAAATCAAAAAACCTAATATATATATATATATATATATATATATATATATATATATATGACTAATACTATGGAATTCAATCTTCCTCTTCGCTCTCACTTAGAACGTCATACCTAGAAAAGTCTATGTCTGGACGATCTTTGCCGACAAGAGCTTTGAATCGGTCAAAACCATCACAGCAAGCCTTGCCTATGAGCACCTTGAATTCATCAGAATTTTTAAAACTCTCCACGGCAGCTAACTTCTCGAATTCCAGCTTATCAGAGTATTCTTTGGTAAGTTTCACTTTCTCATCTTGAAAGTTTAATTTTGCATTAGTCAAGTCATCTTCTTTTATTTTAAGTGTAGAAGTAACATCTTCATATTTAGCCTTGAGGGAAGCCATCTCTAAGGAAAGCTTCTCGTATTCTTTGGCGATAACAACTGAGTATGTAGTGCCCTATAAATAAATAAATAGTGGCGAACAGTTAAAAATAAATAAATAAATAAACGAAAAAAAAGAGATGCGCATAATAAGGGTAAAATCTCACCTGGCTGATTAGATGAAGAAATTTCTTTGAAAGCTCAGATGCTGGCAGACTCTACAATCTGGCAGTGTCGTCTTTTACTACCATTTTATGTAACCTGTCATTCGCGACATTAGCGTCATCGAGAATCGATTCCCCGTGGGAAAAGGCTTGGTTGGTTGATACTGAACAAAAACTTTCGAAACTAGTAGGAACCCCACCAAATCCGCTGAAACCTAGAGGTACAAGAGTAGGACCTGATAACACTCCAGGGCTTGCAGATGTACCATGATTCCCTTCTCCTACCCTTCGTAATTTTTTGGAAGCAGGAGTAGAAGGGAGATTACTTGACCGGACTTGGGCTAGGAGTCTTTTACTGAGCTTCTTGCCTGCATAAAAAGTAATAAGGGAAATACTTAATGAGATATTAACTAAAAATCAATAAGTTCACATATAAGTATGTTTGTTTTTCTTACCTTTCTCTAAGTGGGTGGATGTTTCCTTTGAGCTATGAGCTCGTACATACAAATCTAAAGCCTCGTCAGTTATGAGATCGCTAAAGGTCTTTACTGGGTAAGAAGAGGCATTACCAACATGCTCGGCTTCTGGAATGGAGAGGGTTGGTTTGTCCTTAAATTCTGGGAAAAAGAATAATAAGTTGCATCTAAAAAAAAAAAAAAAAAAAAAAATTCATATTCCTGAACAGTACCCGCGGTACTGTTCATGAACAGTACCCTCGGGTACTGTTCCCTTGAGTGCAAAAAAAAAAAAAAAAATCCTATTCATGAACAGTACCCGAGGGTACTATTCCCTCGGGTGCAAAAAAAAAAAAAAAAAAAAAAAAAAAAAAAAATCTTATTCATGAACAGTACCCGCGGTACTGTTCCCTCGGGTACAAAAAAAAAAAAAAAAAAAAAAAAAAAAGAAATTAATTTGGAAACTATATACATATAAATCTTACCTGTTGGATCTGAATTATTCTAAATAGTTGGAAATTTCCCGTATGTACCGGAAATAAAGAAGAAACGACTCTTCCAACCTTTATTATTTTCAAAGGTTGCAACAAGGAGGAATGTCTTCTTTGATCTACACTGGAAGTACCAAAAATTGTCTTTTTTCTTCTTGGGATAATAAAAATGCAGGAATTGATTTACTATTAGACGGCCATTGCCACACTTTCCCCAAACAATCAAACAGCCTATAATAATTCTCCATGAATTAGGAGCAATTTGAGAAGGAGCTATCTTCAGATGAGAAAGAATTTCTTCTACAAATGGATGAATCGGAAAACGCAAGCCCGCAGCAAAAGTCGACTCGAAAAAACATACCTCACCTAAACGAATAGAAGAACATCTATCTTCTGGTTTGGGTTTGTGAAGACGAATAGATGAAGGAATGGAATATTTAACTCTACAACTCTGTAAATTCTCATCCTTCATTAAGGATTCTCCTTCACGAGGAGGTTGCTTGGAAAAAGCAGTCCTTGGTCTTGAGGAGTAATCAACACCAGATTCATCAGCATAGTCAGGATCGAGTTCTTCAACACTTTCAGAGGTTGAGTCCTCGGATTGAGATTCAGTATTCAAGTTATTTTTCTGCACGAACATGATGAGGTATCTGATATTGCGAAAATAGCGAAACCATTTTAGAATTACACCAATAACCTGGTAGAGACAACTTGACCTAATTACGTATCTACAACGATCCACAATGAACTCACAGTTAGGATCTAGTTTGGAGGATTTCAGACCAAAAAGAAAAGGAAGGTAAATAAATAAATATATATATTTATCTATTTATAGGAAAGAAAATTCTTTTTCAAGTAACAGTGAAGTTCTTGTAAAGGAGTCCTACTACAATATGGAAGGGGCCTGTAGTAAAAAGGAAACAAATGGAATATAGAAAGTATTTCCTTGGTCCACCACGTACCCAGAAATAGGGGGCAACTGATAGGGAAAAATAACCCTAGCCTATCTTGACTTAACAAAAAAGGGAATTAAATATTGACCTGCCACCAGATTTCTCCAACTCTCAGACGATAATATCTCGTTATTAAGGATAACCATTCTATTAGATAAGAATGATAACAAATCGTATCTAGGATAGGATTTGTCATGGGATAAGTTCAAATCTTATCAAGGATAGGATTTCCACGAGGTAGGCTCCATGGGCTAAGGACGATGAAACTCCCTTATCAAGAATAAGGGAAGTGACTATAAATACAAAGACGACTCGGGAATAAGGTACACAAAAAAAAAACTCCTACTAAGCAAATTACAATTAAAATTCTCTATCGAGAATCCTTGCTAACTTGATCGTCGGAGGGTCAACGGCCGGCACCACACCGGTGTTTGACTTTGCCATCCTTATTTTGCAGGAAACGGTGTTGTACTAGACCGCGGCGAAATTCAACCTCAACAATGTATAAAGAGGCCATGAGGCCATTTTGAATCAAATTGAATATTGCTTATACCCTTTCTTTACAAGCATTATTGGGATTTTTCATGTTCAAGCCTTATATCAGGTTTATGGGATGTTTTTAGGATGAGTTTAAAGCTTAAATTTTAGCCATGGTAGATGCCAATGAGGTTCCCATGGTCCTATGCACTTGCAGTGACCAAATTTCAGACCTCCCAGGTGAAAAGCCGGCTCTCCCCCTTTGGGAGTCTGACTCTTTTTATTCCAGTAGCTAAATTTCGTCAAAAACATAACATGGAGCCTGCTCCTTTGGAGTGGAACATGCTCCTTTGGAGTGAGTGGAGCTTGCTTCTTTCGCAGAAAGGAGGCGGCTCCATCCAAAATGGGAGCCGGTTCCTTTGCTGCTTGTCTTTTTTATTTTATTTTATTATTATTATTATTATTTATTCAGACT